ATTTTGCAAATTATTCATTGTAATAAAATATTGTACTCCTGGCTCGCAAGAGGATAAACTATGAACGGCCTTAAATAAAAAAAAAATTGTGTTCTTGTAATGAACTACGTTCAATTTGATCTTCTTTTGGGTATGTAGACAGCTTAAATAAATTAAAAATTCAAGTTCAATTACAACAAGTAAATTCACTCAATTTGTTTATAATTTTATTTTTGTAATAAAAAAATACACAAAAGATATGAAGAAGAAAACATCATTATTAAAAAAAAGATGATAGCAAACCAAAGGTCATATAATATGGTCTCAAAGAAGATAAGAAAGTCTTAATTCTATCGAGATCGCTCGCAATGAATCTCTTGTAGAAAGATATCTTGAAGGGTTAATGTATGTTATGCTAGTGACATCTCCAAACTGTGATTCTTCTAATGTGGCAAGGATACTCTTTTATTCTTGATGAGTTTGAAGTTCATCACGGAGTCTATCTAGCTTGGAAGTTAGCTAACTAATGTTATCTTCCAATGAAGAATATGTGGAATCCTCCACTTCCAGCTAAATATTCAAAAGTTTCAATTGCTCAGCCTCTTTTCAATGGTTAGACACTCTAAGTGCTATTTTCTTTTAGATAAATAAAGATCAATTTCTTTAAAAAACACATCTATACCTTTGGTCAAAGGAGTTGAATCTGTGCAAAATAAGCTGATAATCACATTTTGAAAATTAAATTATTTTCATCCCACCAAATCAGATATTGAAAAATCTATACTTCGATTTGTCTCTAAAACACTTCTGAAGATAATTAGTCATACTTTCTTATAGGGCAGCTTCCAAGTAAGGGAATTCTTAAGTTATCCTAGGCAAAGGACCAGACATGAAAGAACAAATTGATGCAGCCTGATGATTGTTTGTCTTTGAAGGCGGAATGCTAACTAAAGCCAATGAAGATTAAACAATAGGGACTTCTTAATTGATCTTTGAAATTTTAGCTCACAAAATCTCATAATTCACTTCATATTTATTATGTGAATCATCTACGATAAGCATTGAACTACCTTCATTAATGGTGCTCAGGTATTTGCAATGAGGGCCGTGAAAATCATGAGTACCATCCATTCCTTGAAACTCATTGATTCTCTCATCATTCTTGCTAGTCAGATCTTGTGAAAATTTTGGATTCATGGAGAAATTTAGTACTTTAGGAAAGCTTGAAAACCTACAAAAAAATGAAGATTAAAAAAAGAGAGAGAAGAAGAAGAAGAGAGACAAAGAAAGAAAGAATATATTCACGTTTCATGTTCTACGCGACATGTCTAAAAATCATCATCTGATGGTTTATTTGAAAGACTAATGTTAATGTAAGAAGCTCCAATGTCAACTTTTGAAGGACTTGGAGTAGCTTGAAGCGCCATTGATTTTACCAATTGTTTCATTTTATATATTTGGGGGAGAGAAGCCTAAAATTGAATTTTGTTACATGAGATCAAATACAAGTGGTATGTTAAAAAAAATTTTAAAAAATCATACTTGATATCCATAACTTTCATTTTTCAGAGATAGATTTTCCAGGGACATGGGATGCTCAATGTCCAGGATTATTATGGTCTGAAATGAAAATTGTTTCATGTATCTTTATAGGTGGAAGCAAATTTTGCTGAGGAACTTATAATCTTAATTCTTTAATGCCTCTTTCATTACGAATGTTTGATTCCCATTTTCCAAAAGTCTCTCTAGCAATGATATTTGGAGGGTTTAAACCTTTGGCTAAGACTCTGTTCGAAGCCAGATCAAGAGCAAAGTCACGGCTCTCACCAGAAGATAAAACTTTCACTTAAACCCTTGTCAAGATTCGTAACACTTATTCCACCAACCTTGGTACTCTGCATCAACATTTTGATGTGCATCCTTCACATACACTAGAATATGAAATATAGATCCATTTATCGTCCTAGTCAAAGACAACCAAACATGTTATATGTCTTCTGCTTTGGGAGTAACATCCAACTTTCTCGATGAACAGAAAAGTTTTTGCTTAAAGCCAAGTTTTCTCACAAACCTATGAGAATTGTATACCTCAAGAATGAAAGGGGAGTTTCTCCAGCAATAGGAAACAAGTCCAGATCGAATACTCATCATAAATTGAGGTATTTATAGACCTAGGTCGATCATCCACTTGTACATTGGGATGAGCAATGAGAGAAATGGATTCCAACAAAAGTGATTGACATCCATTAATCCATGAACAAGTCCTGACAATCAACGACATTTTTCTCCCAAGATCGAAAAGCATTCAAAGTGCCAACATATCTTCAAATTATAAGACGAATAACTTTCTTCCACATGAACATAAATATCTCGAATGAAATAAGTTGCAGCCTGAGCATAAAGAAAATTTTTAGGAAATGAATACGAAATCGAGCCATGTCCAGGCTTGATTGATGGTTCGACGATCATGTAAGTCCTCTATGAATGCTTGTTAATATGGGAGAAATTAGATTGTAAGTATACCCACCTAACGTCCTAGAAGGCCCTTTAAAAATCCCAACTCTTATACATTCGTCATCGGATGGGAGAAGAAACGACAAAATCACAAGAAAAGATAAGCTACTATTTCTAATTCTTTTGCTACTTTCATATGTGAAGATAATGACAAATCGCTCCAATGACTCTGATCCCTATGAGAAATATCTTTCAACTTGTCTATAATCACGAGCCTCCATATTTCATTTGATGCTCTTTGATAATGCCTCTTGAATGGATTTAGATTCATAGCATTTTTATAATTTTTTTTTCTTGAGAATTCTGGGCACAACTATTCTCATGAAACCAAAAATTAATCCAATTTTCATGTCTAATGCAATCAGATTCTGACACATTAGCAATTAATGCAAAAATATTAAAGAGGTACAAACAAGACTTGGAAAGGTGATCTGTTAACTCTGAAAGGCTTGGGACTACTTTTTCATAATAATAACTCATGATTGAAAGTCCACTTATCTCACGAATGTCCCAATTAGAAATGTCGATTTCACCAGTAATGATCACAAAAGTATTGATCTCTAGACACAAAATGTCACAAAGAGCTCTATAGATAGAGTTTGGACAGTGATAATCTTTTGTAGTAGAGCCAATTGCAGAAGCTAACTCGTGAAGATTCTTCTTGAGCGGGAATTTTTGGACCCGTGAAAACTACTCCCAAAACTTTGAAAGAAAAGAAATCTCTCCATGACTGACAAGTGCACTTCTCCATTGTATTTCTTTATTGTCGATCCTCTTACAAATTACAGTCCTTAGGATGCACTCCATGCTCTGAAAATGATGATGCGGAAGACATAGAAAGAGAAGATAACAACTAGAGCACTTGGACTTAGCAGCTTCTAAATTCTCATGAGATTCACTAATGATGTGCATATGCAACTCCCAAAAAGGTTCCAAGAGGTCACGAGAAGGATCTATCATTGGCTTATGGATACTAAGTTTAAGTTTACCTCGTATGCCAGGATGGTTATGGTACTTCAATCAGTATCTTTGAAAAAAATGTAACTTTTGCCTTGATGTTTAAGCTCAAACGATTTTGTGTATATTATAATATACTCTATTATTATAGCTTGTTCCAGTCATTCTTACAAAATAAGAGAGAGAGAAATTAGCAAACAAAATATAAAACTTGAAAACTAATGGGCAGTAAATCTTTTAAATTTGTTTATTGTCTAAAATTATGAGCATCTCAAATATGTAAATGACCTCCATACAGAATGCTTGAACAGTAAAATGAGATGGTCTCTAATCCCAAACACGAAGTGCCTTGACAATTGAAGGAGCCGGTCATTGATTTTCAACACAAAGTGCATTGGACTGTCAAAGGAGTCGATCTCTGGTCCCCAACACAAAGCCCCTTGGACAATCAAAACATTCGATCATTGATCCTCAACAAAAAGTGCCTTAGGCGGTCAAATGAACAGATATTTTCCATCAACACAAAGTGCCTTAGATGATCAAAGGAGACGGTCCTTAGTTCTTAACTATTTTTTCCTTCATTTGATTATATTTTCTCAAAAAAAAAAAGAAAAAAAAAACTGAAGTAAAGATAAAAAAAAAACAATAAAAATGGGAAAATGGCAGGAGCCCAAACCAACATTTGCTGGATCCTGCCCCGGCAGAAACCAATTCCAATCAACTCCATTGTTAGAATTGCAGACACGAGCGGTGGGGGAAAGAATCGCAGAGAAGAGAGAGGAAACCTATTTTTTTAAACCTTTATTTGTAAATTTAACCTACTTGTTTCCAAATCTCATAATTCACTCATATAAATAGGTGATTATCGGGCTTCACTCAAGCCCAACTCACCATCAAAGATAAAAAAATCTGTTTAAAATCAAATGAGCTATGAATTGCGTATAAAATAAATAAATAAATCAATCAAATAAATCAAATCTAAATTCAAGATGTATTAATTTATTTTCACTATAAATAAATATATTTTGATTGGGACATTCGTAGACATTAAAAAAAAAAAAGAAAAAGGTCCGTCATATTTTTCCAAAACTCACAATTATTCAATTATTCTTTTTAATTAAAGTTAATTGAATGGTTATCAAATTGATCACGAACTGAAATGTCCATAAATCTCCGATCAAAGTTTTGTTTAAATCAAATCAAATTCAAAATTCAAACCCGAGCTTCTAAATCGAAATAATGAATAAGCCAAATTCTCAATAAATCATATTTTCGCCACATGACCCATCATTTTCAAACATTCAATTAATCAAAGAATCATACGATTTAATAGTTACAAGAAGATTTTAAAAAAAAATACAATTTATAACTCTTTCTATATTTTAATAGACGAAATTTTTCGTACAGTGTTATTATTATTATTTTTTCTTGTTCTAATGTTAGGAAATAAAAATTTCCTAGAATAATGACTGTGTTTGGTCACTAACGTTGCTGAGTACCCTAGCATAGGTTAAAGTCGGGCTTAGTCAATTTTTCAAGTTTGGGTATGATTGGATTCAAATATTACACATTTAATTTCGAATAGCAGAATTATACGATACAAATCACAATTTTTGACAAACCCTACAGGCAAAAACGATTTAAACACGAACATGCAGGTTCTTTCATTCAGAATACCAAGTAAAACTAGTAATCTTCTGGGGCCAAAGGCTGGTGAAGGTGATGCGTGGGGTGCGGGGTCTCGGTTTGTATCACCCCGAACTCGTATATAACTCCAGCCAGAGCCGCACCAACGAATGGTCCCAACCAGTAGACCCAGTGGTCTTTCCACCTCCATCCCACAAGTGCTGGCCCGAACGCACGAGCAGGGTTCATCGATGCTCCGGAGAAAGGCCCTCCAACCAGCACATTAGCCCCAACTATGAAGGCAATGGCAAGAGGAGCAATGGTGCCCAAGCTTCCTCTTTTTGGATCGATTGCAGTCGCGTACACTGTATATACCAGTCCAAATGTCAGCACAATCTCCATCACCAAAGCGTTCCATTCTCCTACTCCATCCGCCACGGAAAACCCTCGCGGCCTCTGCAAACACAGGATGCTTATTAAAAACGAGTAGAAAGTCCCGGTACTTATAAGCACTTATAAACACACCAAAACATGTGCTGAGACATGCAAGTAATTAATTAAGGTGGAAGGCGGGTGGGTTTTTCTATTTCTTTTTACCAAGCCATCAGTTGCCAGCCTCAACAAGATAGCAGCTAAAACTGCACCCAAAAGTTGAGCAATCCAGTAGTAAATAGCACGCAGCACAGAGACTCTTCCCCCTACAAGTGCGCCGAAAGTGACGGCAGGATTGACGTGCCCGCCGGAAACATTCATACTCGAAGCCACAGCTGCAAACAGTGACAGGGCGTGGGCGAGAGCGATGACCACCAGGCTTGATGCTCCTAAGGCTGTATCCTTATACATCTTATCTGCAAATCGATACAAATTGAGAATAATATGAGCTGTACGTCCATGTGCACCTACTTCTTCTTATTTTCAAGAACGTTACTGAAGAATTAAGATACCAAGAGCAAGGACGGAGCCTTCGCCGGCGAAGACAAAGACGAGCATGGAGAGAAACTCAGCCAAGGTGGCCCTGGCAGAGTCGGGGTGGGTGGCTTCTTCAGCCCTACCAAAAGTATACCCACGAGGCATGGTTTGATCGATCTGGTTCTTTCTTGCTCAATAAAATTTATCAAAAACCCTGTATTTATATGCTGATATATGTATTAGTAAGAGGAAAACATTATGAACTGAACTGAAATCTCCGTTAAATGAAGAAAAGGGCAAAATATATAGAAGATTACATGTAGACGATGAAATGTGAGTGCATGAACATGCTTATATTAATAAAAATGAGGTGACACTTGGGTGAAGGGTTGCAGGAATGATGCCACGTGCGTGTATGCGTTGGCTTTTTATTGCAACAACGTTTCTTGCTTTCATTCGTCATAGGATTTTATCCAATTATTTTTGGTAATGATTGGTAATGAGAATGGGAGAAATGGTGTTTTGTTGAAAAAATGAGTGGTTGAAAAAGAAGGAAAAAATTTCGATTTATATGTAATATTATTTTATGGAAGATTGTATGGTTGAAAATAAAAGAGAGAAAAATAAAATGTAATAGAATGTAATTTAATGGAGATCAAACAGGGGCTTAATTTCAAATTGGCTCAAATCCACAATTGCAAATAATAACATTATTAATGTCAATATCGTTTAAAGTTTTAATAGTCGACGTCGATTTAATTTCAAATTTTACTGCCATCGATTCTCTCTAAAAATTATTCAGGACAACTCCAATGCTAACATCATTGCACCATTTTCTGGTACAAAGTTGCTCCAATATAACACCAAACTTTGCACCATTTTGGTGCAGAATGGTGCAAAGTGAATAGTGTTGATTACACCGTTTTTTGCCCCCAAATGTTAAAATGTCCATTTTGCCCTATTTTTCATTTTTCAAAGATAATGGTTAAAAGTATTTGTGTCATTTTCATTCTATAATGATAATAGTAATGATAATAATAATAATTAATTACACTATTAATTATATTATTAAAATTTATTATTTTTAATAATATAATCAATAATAATTAACGTAATTGTTAATTTACCGTAAAGTTTAATTTGTAAAGTTTATGTTTAAAGTTTAATTTAATGTAAAGTTTATATTATTAAAGTTTATTATTTTTGTAAATTTAACGTAATTATTTATCGTAAATTAATAATATAATCAATTACTTTTGTCAATTTAATATAATATATAAAACGCGTGAATAATTAGTAATCAATATATTTGTTAATTTAATGAAGTTATGATCTAATAATTTATATAGTTATAAAATAAATAAATATTTTTTTAAATAAATACATTGACAAAAATCGAAAGAATGAATAAAATAATAAAGCAATGTTCATTTGGTGTAATGATTGGTGAAAATTTTTGCTTTGGTTTGGTGCAGCGCTGAAGATAGCCTTATACCATGTTTGATCCCCATTATTTCCTTATTAAAATGAAAAATATGATCGTTATCCATCACATCAAACCACCATATTTGACTTTTTATCTCTTGTGTGGAGCTCATAACAATTATATTTTTCATTCTCATTTTTACGATAATATGGCTCAAACGGGTGCTTAATTGGCAGTTGTATCATAATGAATATTCCACATAATCGTTATGCTGCATTTTAACTTATCAATACGTCATGTCAAGAAAGTTTAAAAAATAAACTAATAATGAAGGCCAATTTTAATTTTAAAACGTTGCTATCATGCTATAGCGCTCATTTGATATTGCAGTTTTTAGGATGATTGCTTGAAAAGTTAAAGGTGTATATGACTATTAGTTAAGTAATTTTCGTAAGTGTTGAGGACGACAATTACCGATGGAATGTGACAAAAGTGGAAAATAAAACAAAAAAAAAAAAAACTAAATTAAATTAAGGGGACTCAATTAAGACGAAGTATAGGGACCAAACTGATATTTCACAGAATGTTAAATGACCATAGATGAAATATAGCCTTGTCCCATTTTTTGAAAAGATTTTATAAAACTAGTTTTTGTCACGTGCGTTGCACAAATTTTATAATGTTTTCATTAGCTTACAAATTGTAGATTTCTCTGTTGAAGATCAAAATTGTCACTTTCGTAACTACAGGATTATGCTAGATTAATCCTTATTTCTTTCTCTGAAATTTCTTATAAAAATTAGTTAATTGTTGTAGCACTTCTTATAAAAAAATTGGCTAAAAGTATTTCAGCACTCGCAACCTCAACTACTAATGTTTTCCTCAAGAATTCCTTCTTGAAATTTGGGCTTGTTTAAGAGCAATGTTACTTTCTTCTAAAATTCCTTGTGGGACTTACAAAACTCACAACCTTAGCTCGAACGACTTGAGAGCAATCCTTATTGCTTCATCCAGAATTCCTTCTGGGAATTTGGACTTCATAAGAGCATTCATTACTTTCATACAGAATTTCTTATGGTAGTTGGATGGAAGGTCATAGCACTTAAAACCTCAGTTTGAAATATTTAAGGAAATGTGGCATGGCATTGAATTGATGCAAAATAACTAACATTGAATTATGTCTATATATAATTTGCTTATCATTTTTTCATGAAAACAAATGTTTAGCTTTCATAGAAAATTACAAATTTTTATGTAATGCTTTTCAAGGATTCTTTCTATTGACCTGTTGAATTTTTTATATTATTTGATAGGATTACTTGTTCCCACCACAAATTCGTGAATTAGTATAATTTGTCGACCAGCTTTCGAGTACAATGAAAAATTTATGCCAATGATATTTTTGAAACTTTATAAATCGATGTTATCTTTTAACTTACAATTATGTAAAAATAAAAAATAAAATAAAATAAGCCACACACACGTACTCCTCCTACCCCGATTTTTGACAAAGAATCTCATTTTTTAACAGAAATCATTTAATGTTTTAGATTTATTTTGTTAAAAATTTAAAAAATAAAAATAAAAAATTTGTCCCCACCCCAAATCCCCCAACCACACAATAAATGAAAAAAATGAACATTGACGGAGACAAATAGAAACAATTAGGGAAATGTATAATAAATGAATAAGACGTCGTCATTTTATTATTCACGTAATGAATGACCAAAAAAATAAAATTGGGAGAGAATTAGCAAGGCAGCACTCCGTGCACTATGGAATGCACGGAGTGCGCACTCTCTATGCACGGAGAGTGCACACTCCGTGCACAAATTCGCCACCACCGCCACCAGTGAGATAGAAGGCTAAACAATGCTTCTCAAAATCAATTGGAGTAGAAATAGAATTCAAGGAGCCTTTAGCCTTACCATTCATTTTAGACATGATCTCAGCCACCCTCTATTGACACCCCGAGCATCAAAAATCTGCTAAGAAAACAACTTCCTGTACTTGTTTAAGAACAAACATGTCGTGCTGATGCCACCATCTGTGAGCATAATCTTACATAGTAGAAATGGATAAAAATGGACAGTACAGAACCCATAAAAAAAATACAAGCAAGGAAGTAATATTTGGCTATGAGAAAAAGAGTAAACTCAGAAGAGGTATTGCTAAGGATTCAATGGCAGCAAGGGTGGTTGGAAGAAGAGGGCCACCCTTCAACTCTTTTTCTTGGGTCAAACGGAGCTCATTTTGATTCCCTCTCACCACAGACATGCTTCCAACCTGTGAGTATATTATCAGTATCTGGGAAAGATGATAAAAAAGTCTATGGCCAAAAGTTCATTTCCAACTTCTGGTAGGATTTATGATATGTGCTTCTTATGTTGGAGAAATTAGGGAATTTGATCGGAACAGAGGCTTTAATGAAGTGAAAAAATTTGACAAAGATGTTTTTCTCTTCCACCAGAGTGTATTGAACTTTCTTCACATTGAATTGTTATACTTAGGTTGCTTTAGAGAATAAAACTTTTAATAGCTTAAATTAGTTACAATTTACTAATCGGGTCAAATTATATATAGCTACAATGCAACTAAATACTTTAGATATGAACAATGGATGTGTACTGTAAATGTCGGGTAAAAAGGGAAAAAATGAAATGTCACTGTATCACTGTATCAATGAGAAGACAACACGACGTCGTTTTTACTCCATGATGGGGGAAAAAAGATTTTGTTATAATGTGATAAAATGGAAGAATTCACTGTTGATTTCTATAGTGACTTCTCATTCTCCTTTTTATATAGTAGGGAAATGCTTTTTTGAAAATTGTGTTGTTAAAAAGTAGGAAAAATTTTAATTTTATGTGCAAAATTATTTTATTGAGAAATTGTGTAGTTGAAAATGAATTTGAAAAAAAATAAATTTTAAAGAGCAAAGTGATAGATACCCAACTCACGCAATAAAATAACAAGGGTAGAATAGAGAAACGAAAGGTGGCAGTTAGCAGCACATGCAAGTGATAGAGGCAGTTGGAGAATTAGTTAGATAACTATTATGAATAGAATGAAAAATGGAGGGGAATTTGTGGAGAATTTGGGTAGTACCTTGGGAGAGTTGTGGACCTCTTAAATGTCCATTTATCCTTTTATTTTTATCCGTTTCACTGTTAGTCATTTCCAGATTACAAAATCTGCTTTTCTTATAGCAGATTCATTTCCTTTTGTAATCACCATTCAGTAATGGAATATTACAATCATGTTTGAGTTCTGTTCTCACTTTTCAATCCATTAATTACTGCACTTGGTGAAGTGAAATTATTGTAGGGTTCTATCAATTGGTATCAGAGCACTCGATTCTAGGGAGGATGGAAACAAATTATAGCAAGAAATCGGAGGAGATATGGATAGGAGACCAAGCACTTGATTCTGGATTAGATCCACTTGGTCGTCTCAAAATATCATTATTCTATAGAGAAGATACAAAGGGGTGGGTGTTAGAAGCAGAGAAGATTTTCTCTAGAAATCAGTTGTTGGAGGTGGAAAAAATAAAGGCCATCGTAGCTTGTTTTGATTGGGGGATGAATTGAAGGTGTTGATGATGGCTCGATTCGACGTGAAGCAGATCTTTGTTGGTGGTGAATTGTCAGCCTGGAAGCAAGGGGATGAGATGAGCTGGGAGACCGAGAATGGAAGTCCAGAGGAAGAATAGTCGTCATTGGAGGAGGAGAAGAAATCTGTGGTGAAGTCGGAAAAGAAGGAGAAGGGACGAGCCTCTACTTCCCCGGAAAACACCCACGCATATCCACATCGATCTTACGAATCGGGATGAATAGAGGGCGTGGGGATCGGCCAGAGAAGACCATCGGAGACTGGAGGTCAACTGAAATCTTACCATTACTACCGTCGAAGGAAGAGAAGAAAAGATTGGAGCAAGTTTGGAACAAAGCCTCTATGAAATTGCTGAAGCAGGAGAACAACAACGAAGGAAAATCCATAGATTTGGACCATTTTTTGGAATTAGACTATGACAGGGAGTTGGCCCAACGAGGCAATTGCAAAATTTCATTTAATCAAGCCCAAGACGAAATGGGCCTATATGGAGTAAGGATAAACGACCCAATAACTATTTACACCCATAAAACCCATCAGATTACTCCAACCCCTAGTCACGCCAATTCGCTGCAATCTGGAAAACAATGGTACCACCAGTGGAGGGAAAAGAATACAAACAAGCATCACAGTATTGCGGTTGTAGGGCATAACTCCTATACTGTACTAATTGAGCTGCATGAAAAACATTCTATTCCAAAACCACAGTAGCCTCAAGCAATTGATGAACTATGTGCTTTGAATCAAGTAGAGGAAGCTCATGTTCTTAGTACTTGCTACAGAATGGGAATTCATATGGACAAACAAGTAAGCTTGGCTCTAGAATTGGCCCAACAGGTGAAACAAGTCCAATTGATTTTCGGCCCATGTAAAAATAAATTTAATTTGCTCTACCCATCTAAAGGTTCCAGCCCATAGTTTGCCGATCATCAAAAGAATCCCTCGCTTCTCAAAGTGAATTCCAAATCTACGGCATCGATTGTACCTGATCCGACAACGATAACAAAGGGAAATGGCCAAAGGATCAATGAGTTCGTGGAGGGTACAAACGGGTCTATGCGGCACAAGGAAGCTGAGAGGTGGGAAAATCGGAATCGACGCCTGAAAATATCGGGGTTTGCGGGTAATAATCCATCCGATTGGGTTTTAAGAGAGGAGACTGCACTGCCATTCTTTAATGGATTTATGGTAGAAACGTCCACTGGGTCAATTTTACTAACCAACTTTGATAGAATGTCAAGATGCCCAGATGAAGTTGTTCGAAGAGTTCGAGTGACTGCGTGCTTTGAAGATCCAAATTGAGAAGTCAGGTTACTTGGGACATATGACATCCATACCGACCAATTTGTCATTGCTCCATGCACTTGGAACACATGCCAATTATACATTGGGATGGCATCCAATGGCGCTACTCCTAAAAAAGGGTTGACTAATGAGGAGATAGAGATGAAAAGTAAGAAGGGGTGGAAATATCTTGAAACTCACATGCTTGCAATCAGCTACAATTTTATTTCGGGAGAATGGGTTCAAAAATTGGAGTGCCAGCAAAGGGGTGCGACCACCTATGGGATTTTTATGGACAATATACTAGTAATTAAGAGGTCTGCCAACTTGTTCAGCATGAAATGTCCTTTCCCTGCTCGGATCATGACTGGCATGGAAAGGGTATAGTTTGGATGTACAAGATTTTTGGAATTGGTCCGATTTTCACCATGAGGACAGAGTAAATTTCGAGGCGGTGGGTAATGATAGATACCCGACTCACGCAATAAAATAAGAAGGGTAGAATAGAGAAACGAAAGGTGGCAGTTAGCAGCACATGCAAATGATAGAGGCAGTTGGAGAATTAGTTAGATAACTATTATAAATAGAATGAAAAATGGAGGAGAATTTGGGTAGTACCTTGGGAGAGTTGTGGACCTCTTGAATGTCCATTTATCCTTTTATTTTTATCCGTTTCACTGTTAGTCATTTCCAGATTACAAAATCTGCTCTTCTTATAGCAGATTCATTTCCTTTTGTAATCACCATTCAGTAGTAGAATATTACAATCACGTTTGAGTTCTGTTCTCACTTTTCAATCCATTAATTACTGCACTTGGTGAAGTGAAATTATTGTAGGGTTCTATCACAAGGCTCCATCATGAGCTAAAACTCGTACATCATACAAGTTTTGTTATTTTTTGGTACATGAATCTTGTACTAGATCAAGACTTTCTTTTTTCTTTCCTATTTTTAATGTAAATGAAATTTTATTCAAGATAAAAGTTTTTACGTCTACTTATCTTTATCTTTACTCTCTTAAAAGAGAGGCTTCCTTTACTATTCATTCATGTCACAGTGGTTTTCACACTTGCTCGATTTACATATCTGGTTTTGCTACAGTTGGTCGGTCCCCAAAATGAGCCACGTTTTCTTTTTGAGACCGCATAGTCGGCGTCTTGTTGCTTTTGTATTGTCTCACGTCCACATCCTCTCGTGAGGAATAATTAGTGTAGTTGATTTTTTTGACTTATTGGAGCGAGGAATAATTAATGTAGTTGCTTTTTTTGACTTATTGGAGTGTAGTTTATTTTGTTGACTTGTTCAAATCAGAAAACATGCCTTCACGAGGTATATAGCACAGTTATTAGATGATTGTCCTTTTTCCCCCACATAATTGAGATATCAAAAGTAACATTATACCCTCTATTTAATAAATAATTTGGCACAATTACCCTTCATTTTCTAACTACACACTAATTTCCATACCTATATTAATGTTAAGGGTGATATGGGAATTAAAAAATATAGTTGTCCAAACATTAATGAGTGGAACCCACATTTGAAGTAAAATGTCGTGTGTTGTTTATTTTTTTTTTCTTACCACATAAATTTCGCACAATACTTTTCTATCAATTCAATCCTTCTCTTTCTAAATTCTAGCCATTGTTTTGCAGAACGAATTCTCCCCAAAATCTTGTTTTCTCTGAAGAAAAAAAAAGGACGTCCTTCTACTATAATTCGCTTTTGCCTTTAGCCTAATTCGTATTTTCTTGTCATCAATAGTGGAGAAGAAAATTCTAGAAGTTGCAACAATTAGTTTGGGTATGTTCTTCTTATAATTTTTCTTTTTTGTGCATTTCTTTTTTTATTTTCTTACTGTTTATTTAAGGTACGTAGTTTTCCTTTGTTTGTAGATGAAAATCTAGCTGGGTTCGTCTTCCTTTAGCTCCATATAAGGTATGTTCTCGTTTCTGTAGATGCATGAAAATATATCTACGTTTACATATTTGTAGTTCATGAGGTTGAAGGTCATGAATTTTCGTCGTTTCGAAGCTGGTGAGGAATCAACTATCATCATTCATAGCCAACTTCAACAATTTCAAATCACTATTTCACTCCATTTTTCATTCACTGTAGAAGAAAATGAAATTGCACTGGACGCAAAAAAAAATGTTAATAGAGGGTGAAAATTATATAGATGTGTACATACACATTTACATACATACATGTTTATGTGTGTGAGGAGAGGGGATTACTTTTCTTCGTATAGAATATATTTTATTTAATTAGTATATAATAATAAAATAGTATCTGCCTTTACTATAAGAGAGGAGATTGTCCAAGTTATTGTTTATGTTTGGCAAAATTTCACACGTAACCAGTTTCTTCCTTTAGTATGTAGACTAGAGATATTTTTTTCTTCTTATTCTTGTCTAATATGAAAATTATTTAAGTTGAAAACGCCTAACTTTGTATGAACTTTAAAAATTCTTTAAAATATATGTGTTGGGGACATGTAAATTTATATTAACTTTAAAGATGAATAAAATTTGAATTGAAGGCGCCGTGTAGTATTTAGTGCCATGCCTTGATTTTTTATAAACTGATAGATGACCGTGGTAGATAGAAGTCTTGTCTAAGTTAAATAGTTATAATGGAAGTGTATTTATAGGGAAATTTATTCTGTAGGTTGCTTTGAATTAGAATTTCAAATGTTCCAAGAGAGAAGCTAGAGTACCATACTTTTTCATTGAAAAAGATACTTTGTTAGAGCTTATTAAGGCAGAAATTCATAGATGGAAATCTTTTATTACTTGCTGCCCGAATTCTTTTGTGCATTTCCAGTCGTCCACTTATGAATTTATTAAGTTTATGATTGTTGATAAATTACTTACATTATAACTTTAGAAATAGATTGCATATGTAGGTTGATTGGGTGGAAGCAAAACCACTAAATTTACAGATGAAAAATATTTTCTTTTTAGAAGTCTTTATTTTCTTGCTCTTCGGTAGTAGTATAGCAACAACTTTTACAACATTACAATAGTATTTATGTTTTTAAAAAAAAAAACTATTAATTTTACAAGAATGATATAAAAATGTTAATCTTTTATTCCTGTTTTTACATTATATAAGTCTTATTAAAATTTTATTTCATCAATAGTTCAGTCAACAGTGTTTATATTTATTGCTATTGCTTTGAAGTAAACAATTTTTTTATTAAATTTTAGTTTTATGCGTGTTTTTACTGTTGTGAGAGTCTGGTTCACTTGTGTCTATCGAATATTTTTCCTATTTTGGAAAATTAGTAGTATTATTAATTTTTTAATTATTTCATTCACTAAAACGAAAATTCTTTGCTTTCGTTAAACTAGAGGTGAAGATCTTTTCCCCATGGATTCTTCGAACATTGATAGTACTTCTCAAAATGCAACTGAATCGTATACTGCTTTTATTCGCCAACAACAAAACCAAAGACAGGCAAATAGGAGGAATCAAATTCAAAGTCCACGCGTTGATCGTCGTAAAAGAATAAATAATTCCACGTTGCATCCTAATTTTCAGGCTTCTACTTCAAATAAAGCACGTACTAATATTGTTCATTCTAAAGTACGAGGGATTTCTAACCTATTAAACATACCTACTAATGCATATGTATTACCGACATGGAACTATTGTGAACATTGTGGTGCGCGAAAATTTTATCGAGAAACTAAAGGGTTTTGTTGCTCTGATGGAAAAGTTAAACTTTGTATGCCTGATTCACCAACTGAATTGTATAATTTATTTACTTCTAAAGAACCTGAATGCATGGAGTTTAAGAAAATTTCACGTGGATATAATAACCATTTTGCATTCACTTCATTTGGTGTAAAGTGCGATACAGACCTTTTTAGAGCATATAAAGGTATTTACACATTTAGAATTCAGGGACAAGTATATCATTATGTAAATCAACTTCTGCCGGAAAATAATCAGCCTTCTTATATGCAATTATATTTTTATGATACGAATAACGAAGTTGAAAATCGTATGAAAATTTCAGAAAATTTTGTTGAATCTACTTTGATCATTTTGATTGAAATCTTGAAAGTAAATCCGTATAGTAGATTCTTTAGGTCTTTAAGTAATAGGACCAACTTGCACGACCATCGAATACAAATAAGATACGATCCTGGACTTGATCAAAGAGTCTTCAATACTCCTTCAGCATCTCAAGTAGCCGCTGTATGGATTGAGGATGATGAAAATGCAAATATTCGTGTTCGTGATATTACTATATATGGTCATTCTGGTGATTCACATAAGGTTCACTATTATTATGGTTATTATGATCCTTTGCAATACCCTTTGCTTTTCCCATTTGGAGAACCTGGTTGGCATGAAGGTATTCAGAGATACAAAAAAACATATTTTGAAACTCAGAATTTACCCGATTGCGTAGCTTTTCCTAGCACAGTAAATTTTGCAACTGAAATCATTGCAAATGAGGCTCAAGGTTTGCTATTAAACTTTTTTATATGTTTACTAATTCATATAAATTAAATGTTCCAAATGGGTGTAAGATGCATTTTTTTATCCTTATGCAGTATTCAATGGAATGAGGAAACGATCACAGGTTTCTTGCCGCATTTTTTTTTATCCTTATGTAGTATTCAATGGAATGAGGAAACGATCACAGGTTTCTTGCCGCATTTTTTTTTATCCTTATGTAGTATTCAATGGAATGAGGAAACGATCACAGGTTTCTTGCCGCATTTTTTTTTATCCTTATGCAGTATTCAATGGAATGAGGAAACGATCACAGGTTTCTTGCCGCGAGTACTATTCTTACAAGTTACAAATTAGGCCTTCTAGTAAGTCTGTGTTGCTTCATACTGGTAGACTTTTTCAACAATATGTTGTAGATATGTATGTTAAAATTGAAACTGCCAGATTAGACTATTTTCGTAGCAATCAGAAACAAATTCGTGCTGAACTTTATCAAGGTATTGTGGATAGTGTTCAAAATGGTGAAACAAGAGGGTCAAAAATTGGAAAGAAGATTGTTCTACCACAAACTTTCACATGTGGGCCTAGAGATATGCTTAAAAGATATTTAGATGCAATGGCTATCGTCCAACGTTATGGAAAATCAGATATATTTCTAACTATAATATGTAATTCAAATTGGCCAGAAATTATGCAAGAACTCAAACACAATGACGAAGTTCAAAATCGACCAGATTTAATTGCAGGTATATTTAGAGCAAAATTGGAAGAGTTAAAGAACGATTTATACAAAAAAAATATTTTTGGTTCAGTTGTTGCTCATATATACATGATTGAATTTCAAAAAAGAGGGCTCCCTCATGCCCATTTATTGTTGATTTTCAACTCTGCCCATAAAATTTGTTGTGCTGAACAAGTTGATATGATAGTGTCATGTGAAATTCCCGATAAGAATAAATACTTGCATCTTCATTCTGTAATTGCAAAACACAATATGCATGGCCCTTGTGGAAACCTTAATCCAAAAAACGTATGTATGTTGGCAAGTAGTGGTTGTAAAAATAAATATCCTAAGGATTATTGTAACAGTACTATATTTGGTGATAATTCATATCTCTTGTATAGACATCGTGATAATGGTATTTCTATTAAAGTAAGAGGCCAAATGTTAGATAATCGGTGGGTTGTACCATATAATCCTTATTTAAGTGCAAAATTTGACTGTCATATTAATGTTGAAATATGTTCTTCTATTAAAGCAGTAAAATATTTGTACAAATATGTGTATAAAGGACATGATCGTATTAATTGTTTCGTAGGCAGAAATGAAATAGATAAGGAAATTGATGAAATTTTTGCTTATCAATCAGCTAGATGGATATCTCCACCTGAAGCTATGTGGAGAATTTTTTTCTTTTAATTTGTCAAAAATTTATCCTACTGTTTACGCTTTATAATTTCATATTAAAGATCATCAGCACATAACTTATAATAGTAAAGATGATTTATCTTTTATTATTGGAAATGAGTATACGAGAAGAACAATGCCAACTGAATTTTTTCGGATGAATGAAGTAAATGAATTTGCTCGAACGCTATTGTATCGAGATTTTCCAACACATTTTGTGTGGAATGCAACTGGAAAAACTTGGACTCCCAGAAAACAACACATTGTTATAGGGCGAATCGTGACAGTTAATCCATCCGAAGGAGAACGTTATTTCCTTCGTGTTCTTCTGAATCATATTAAAGGTCCAACATCATATGACAGTTTTAAAACTTTAAATGGAGTAACAATCAATACATATCGAGAAGCAGCACTTTTACATGATTTGTTAAAAGGAGACAATCATTGTGAAGAATGTCTATTTGAAGCCATTATTTACAAAATGCCCAGTTCTTTAAGACGTCTTTTTGCTACACTTCTTACACTTTGCAACCCTAATCATCCAAAGTTATTGTGGGATAAATATAAAGCCTATATGATTGATGATTATGTACATCGAAACATATGTGTTAGTGATGCTGAAATACAAGTTTTGGAAGACATCAATTCTATATTAGAATCGTCAGGAAAAAATGTAAATGATTATGGAATAGTTTCATTCTTTGTAAATATAGATGAGACTCAAAGATTGGCAAGAATGATTGCAGAGGAAACAATGAATTTTAATATTCAACGAGACTTTAATTGTGTAGAGAAATTCAATAAAGAACAACGATTTGCATATGATAAAGTTATGGAAAAAGTAAAAAATGACTCAAGTGGTACTTTCTTCATTGATGGTCCAGGGGGAACGGGGAAGACTTTTTTTATACAAAGCACTTCTAACTGCTGTAAGAGGTCAACATTTCATTGCTTTGGCAACAGCGTCTTCTGGAGTCGCTGCGTCTCTGTTATCTGGAGGTCGCACAGCTCATTCAAGATTTAAAATTCCTTTAGAAACAATTGGTGAAGTGAATTGTTCTGTTAGCAAGCAATCAGCTTTAGGAATAATGTTGAAAATGTCTAGGTTAATAATTTGGGATGAAGCGCCTATGGTAAATCGTTGCGCTATTGAAGCTGTAGATAGAATGCTTAGAGATATTACTGATTGTAACTTACCTTTCGGTGGGAAAGTGATAGTTTTTGGAGGAGATTTTCGACAGGTTCTTCCAGTGGTACCGAGAGGGAAAAAAGATGATGTAATGAAAGCTAGCTTGGTCTTTTCAGACCTATGGCCTTCCTATTTACGTTTACCATTGGTTGAGAATATGAGGGCAAAATCAGATGCTATGTTCTGCACTTACTTACTCAGAATTGGAAATGGAACAGAAGAAGAACATACTTGTAAGTGTATTATGCTTCCGAATAGTATAATTCTACCATTTGAAGATGAAATCACATCTTTAAAACTTTTGATACATTATGTTTTTCCAAATATACAGGCATATGTTGACAATTTACATAATATGATAAATAGAGTTATTCTTACACCTACGAATGAATGTGTTGATTATATTAACAAGATTTTACTCGAACAAATTCCCGGTGATTTTTCCACATACTATAGTTTTGATGAAGCAATTGACAAATCGGAACAAAGCTTGCACAAAGATTTCTTGAATACTTTGACACCAAATGGTATTCCACCGCATGAATTGAAACTTAAGGTAAATTGTCCTGTAATGTTATTACGGAATATTAATCCTTCCGAAGGATTACGCAATGGAACACGCCTTACTTGTCGAAAATTTGAGAAAAACGTAATTCTTGCTGAAATTACAACTGATGAGTATTGTGGGAAATATGTTTTCTTACCAAGGATTCCTTTTATACCTCTTCAAAGTAATCGAAACTCAATTCAATTTAAGAGAACTCAATTTCCAATTAGATCGTGTTTTGCAATGACAATAAATAAAGCACAAGGTCAAACACTTGATTTTGTCGGTCTATATCTTCCAGAACCAGTTTTCTGCCATGGTCAGCTATATGTAGCATTATCAAGAGCAACAACGAGCACATCTCTAAAAGTTTTATTGAAACCATCAAGCATGGACAACTCACATAATACATGTACTAAAAATGTTGTGTACAAGGAAATTCTTTCGTTTATATATTCGTATACCTAAAATGTTTGAACAGGTATATTTTTTATCTTCGAGAAATTTTTATAATATGTTCTCGTACAATAGTATCCTCAATTTTAAATACATGAAAAATTATGTCGTTACTATTTTTTTTATTATTTGCATTTGCTATAAAAAAATTTCACAGGTTTCATTATCGGGAATGAAAAGTTCTTTTTAATTCTTTGCTACATGTGTACGATGGAATCACTAATGCCAGCTTCAATTACAACCTACGTTTGCAAAAGGTATGATTCAAATTTTTTAGTGTTAGTTTAATAGTTTGCCAGATCGATAACTAATTTACTTTAGTAAAATTTCAAAATAAAAAGTAATTTCTCTATTTTTAGAATATATTTACCTTTAAGAGTTTCACATTGTCACATAAATATTTTTCCATCAGTTAAAATGTGCTCTTATGCCAATTATCACAATGTTTAACTTTGTCAAAAAAAAAATAGTATAATTATGTATTTTACGGAAACTCAATTTCAGATTCCCTTATTATCAACTTCAAGTTGTTTCCCCTCATATATTTTACAGTCTTTCACATTTAAGATATATGTAATTAATACTATTTCTACTACCTCTTAAAAGAGGGGGTTTATATTACTGTTCATTTATATCACAGCCGTTTACGCCCACTATTCCACAACCGTTTTTTCTACAGTTCACATTTTTTTTGAATAAATGAAACAGTATCTCCTTTCTTAACCCTAAACAAAACTCTAGCTTTCTTTCTCAAAACTCTTGCCCTTGTTCTCAAACTTTCAGCTAAAGGGGAGATCCATTTGAATTACACTTGAAATACACTGTCTATGTTCTTGGCAATGGAAGAAGGAGGCTTTTTCTATTATTCGACTTTTGTTTACGGTAAGGGCCTAGCTCTTCTTCTTCTTCTCTTTTTCTTTTCGAGTTAGCAGAGGAAGGTGATAATGAAGAGTATAGGACACCGATGGTCACTGTAGTAAATGGCAGAAGAATCGAAGGCTGTCAAACTTATTTGATAAAGAAGCACATATTAATAACTAAAAAGAAGAGGAAGAACATTGTAGCCAATAATTTTCTTTTTTAGTTTAGTTTTCGGAAACCTTTTGAGTTGTTGATGAGGATTTAATTCAATTATGTTGCTTTGTTATGGTGTTCTAAATCTTGATTGATTCAACTGGATTTCTAATCCTTTTGATTTTCTTTTAATAATCTAATTGATGTCAATAATTTTTTGAGGTAGATTTGTTAAAAATTAGTTTCTCTATGAATATTATAAGTTTCCTAAATTTAAGTCTTAAATATAATTTGTTTGCCCTTTGTGCATCATAAGTTCTGATTCTTGGACATTTTTATGCTACTGTAATTCTATCAATAGGGAGACTAATGTTTGATTTTCCTTTTGAAGCTCATGGTTTATTGAAATCATTTTGCTGCTTCTGCTTCTTGCTGGTTCCACTTGCACACTAACGGAATTTCACTTTAATTGCTTGCAAATGATGTGTAAAATACGATTTATGGCTTTGTCATCAGCTATTTATAATTTGATTTTTTGCTTTTATAATGAATTAGTCTAATACACTACTTTATGCAAGCTACTTAAAGCATTATCTTAATTTCTCTAAGTGTGTTTGCAGGATTAAATGCTAAACATGGTGTTACTTTGAGCACACCTACGTCTTTTAGCAATCCCGTTGCTGGAGGTAATAATAGTATGGACATGGGGGTAGTTGTTCGCTCTAGCAAACCTTTCGCAATGGTTGATGAAATTGCAAGAGGATCTTCAGCAGCAGCAGATAGCTTACAGCTTGGAAATCAAATTGTAAACTTTGGGAATATGAAAATAGGTAAGAACTTGGTACAGAAGCTTACTACTGAAGCTCAGATAAATCAGAGCTATGCAATGCTTGTGGTAGTTATGGGGCAAGGTATTTTCATAAATTTGACCATAAAACGCAACTCTTGGCAATGTCATGACCTACTTGGTACGTTACGTTCTAATCATATTTTATATTTTTCCCTTTTGTTTAAACTATGTTTCAATTGGTCAATAAATCTCATTTATGCAAGTGAATCATAAAATGTTCAATTTCAACAAATCATCTTGAACTAAAAATATGCTAATGTTATATATTTGAATTCTGTTGATTTTATACAATAAGATCAATAATACATAAGTTTCTTTTAATTTCGATAGTCCAATAATATTCCTTGTTCTAATTAATTTTTACATAAAGATGGTTTGATGCTCTTTTAGAATTTAATGAACATGTTATGCTTTCCCTTTACTTCGTGCAACGTTAGGAAATATTTAAGTGAATTTAACATTATTCTTCTTGATAGAATATACAAAACTGGTGTGTGTACATTAACTCTTTCCTATTTAATCATCTAACTTGGTTTGGTGAACAAAAAATTTTGTGAGCAACTATTTTTATTCTATATACATTACATATTTCTTTATCAATGCATGAATTGATTTTATGGAAACTTAATAAAAAAAATTTTACTAATTTTATTATTAATCTAAATTCTAACCAACAATGTTATTTTTTCAGATTAGGATTACAGTCATCCTATATCTAAAGACGATTAATCTTACATGGTCGAAAATATATTCACTTTCAATGCTGATAAATATGCAAAGACGGAATTTGGATTGAATTATATGATGATATGTTTCCTTGCATTATGCTATATTGTTATGTTTCTTAGTATATGATATTTTCAATTTTTATTAATCGAATCATGAACATACGAAAAGATAAATTTTCAAGATGCTTATTCTTTACATTCCTACTCTTTTAAAAAATGGAATCTTACGTCTACTATTCATCTAGGAAGCATTTTAAGTGTTTTCCATCGTATTTCCAAATCCATCTATCAAAGTAATTCTTATACTAATGGTCTAATAATATTTTTTTATACGATATATATTCTTCTCTAGCCAAAGACAATCTGCTACCGAAAACTTTAATTCATGATTCCATCTTAAAAAAAAAAAAAACATTACCTAGCCTTAATTTCTCTTCTTGTTCTGAATTGTTGAAATTAATTCGAAATAGTCTATAGGAATTGAAACATTTGTAAGTATAATTCGCGTGCGACATTTCTCTTTGAAATGTTATGTAATTTCAATTTATTATTTGTAGAATATTAGACACAGTATTAGTGAAATTTAGTGATCGCTGGTTCAGTATGTGTGAAGATCAATTTTGCTAATTTTCACCTTGCCTTGTCACTATTATATCTAATTCAGCATTGACATTTTTTTACCTTTCTAGGTTTCTTCAGATTAGAAATGACTTATATTCTTTGAAAAATAAGAAGTTGATTATTGCAATAGATATTAAACCATACATATAAATTTTCTAAATATCTTCTAACTCTTTTCTATAATAGTTTGAACTGCTTTACGTTTCATATAATCTTCATGTCATGCTTGATGTTGTCGCAAACAAGGGATAAGATCTGCTATCTTCATTCGTTTATGTCTTCAGTTAATATAACTTTAGATAAGAAATTCAGTCAATTATATCAAATATGTATTTTTTAACTTTTTGCATCCTTTTGTCTATGTTATTTTAACTCTGGTCCTTCCTAAATAAATGCATTATGGCGATTAATGCATGAACGTTGAACGTCCTATATCTAATCTATTTATCGTCTTTTTTGTGGTAAGGTAAACCGACAATGAGAAGTTAGCTGATGATGAAGAGGAAACTAAGGGGAAGTACATCCACGGTGATGTATTCAAGTACCTGAAATACAAATTTTTGTTTATAATAAATGATGGTTCAACCTTAGTATCCTTTATTATATTTTCCAACGTCCTGGATTCGAAGTTTTCTATTTACTCTTTCGCTTAATTAAAAACTAATGTTTTTCATACAATTCATACATTTTTCGACCATAAATTGAATTTTCTTCTTACTAATGTAATAAGTGAACACAATAGCTTTTCAAAATACATAAATCCAACAGAAAATAAAGAAAAAAAGACAAACAACAACGATAGTAACATTTAACCTAATAACACCTATAATAATATAAGTTAAGCTCTCCACAAGTTCGTGAATAGATAAAATTACTTAATAAATAAAGTTACTTACTAAATGTATTATCCATGAAACACTCGTATTTGAAACATATGGATTAACAATCCTTCTTCCAATTTGTAAATCTAACATAATGTATTAAATTTTATCAACACACACACACACACACACACACACACACACACACATATATATACACACACACGTGAAATAGATATTATACAAATGAAAAAAAATAGTGCCAACTTTCCACGCATAACTTTTTCATATAAACCATCATTAACCTTTTCTTTCACTTTAATTCTCATCCATGCAAAAAGATATTTTACAAACCAAGTGTATGGTTGGATATTAAAACAAAGATTCTTCTACTCATGTTCTATCTATTAATATCTGATTTCGCCTAAATAATTTTATGTTACTTTTACTTTCCCCTTCAGCATCAAAATTCTACGACAGTATCGTAAACATCATACTCTTCAACTACAACTGCAAAAGTTTAAAAACTCCGTTTTCATTTTCGTTTTTGTTTTCTTATTGGTAAGTTTTACATGTTACTATTGTTTTACTATAATTATCTTTTATTAATCCAAAAGAAGAACGTTAGATTATTTCATAAAAAACTTTTAGAATTAAAATAATTGATATCATTTGTTTACGATAAATTTAACGTAATATTAACAACTGTAACTATTTGTGTAATAATTTCTTCTTCACATAATCATAGGATATCAAGAATGGCCGCATTTTATAAACTTATCCCACAGATTTCCACTTTTGAGAAGAATTGGACTGCAAAAATCATAGTTGCAGGAAAACAAGCACCTAAAACTGCTCGAAATAACATTAGCAGCTACCAAAACCTTCTCTTAATGGATTTAGAGGTAAATATATATTTACGAATCTTCTTATTTCTATTCTAAATATTTGTTTTCGTAATATATTTATATAGAACTCATTTTAACATTTGAACAGGGTAACAAAGTTACTGCCATAATCTATGATACAAATATTACGGCTCTTGCAGATGAGCTAACACTAGGGAAAACATACATGTTATAAAATGCAACTGTAAAAGACAACAGAAATGAGTTCGGAGGCTCGCTTGAAGACAAAGTTTGGACCATAACAGCAAAGACAAAGATAGAAGAACTTAAGGAGGATAATTTAAACCTTCTCTTCTCGAGATATGAACTCACAGCATTCAACAAACTTGAACGATACATGGATAGTAATGAAGAGATAAGTATGATCACAAACACATTAACTTATAGCAAATATAAATTTAGTTAATATTTTTTAATCGTTCTATTTATATTCATTTTATCATATACAAAATATGATATCAACACAACTTCTTTTTTTCAGGTCTTATAGGCATCGTTATAGAAGTTCGTCAAAAAAGAATTATCCAAACCCAGTTTGGCACACAAGCCTGTCTTCAAGATGTTGTGCTGATAGATAAGTCTTTCCAGACGATCATATTAACGATGTGGGACACTTTTGTTGAAAATGAGTGCGTTACTATAATAGATAACATTGGAAGCAAACCAATCATCTGGGTGACTAATTTAAAAGTTTCTTCGTACAACGGTAAACAGAATAAAAAAAATATTTTTTTTACATTTATATTTTAAGTAAAATGAACACTAACTTTATGATTAAAATTTTTTATTTTTTTAGAACTTACGCTCTCTAGAAAAGTGAACAGTACTTTTTTCATTAATCCTACAATTGTAGTTGTCACAGACTACAAAGAATGGTTATCGAATAGAACTAACAAATTTCTTCTATTTTTCTAACTTCATAAATTTCGATAGTAAATCTCACACTTCGTTGTTTGCTTTATTTATGCAGGATTGAAACAAACAAAGAAAAGCTTGACAAATTAATCCAAGATAAGCCAACTATTGCAGTGACGCCACCGAAAATTTCACCTCCAGATGAAAATAAATTCACGCCAGTTGCTGACTTACAGGGAGTCCATTTAGGAGTAATTTCAAAAACGTTTAATTAAATATATATATATATATATGACTTACAGGGAGTCCATTTAGGAGTAATTTCAAAAACGTTTAATTAAATATATATATATTTTTGACCAATACTAAAAAAAATTACGCTCTTTCTTATTACTATATTTCTCATTTCGTATGCAGAAAAAATTTTATTGGGTCAAAGCGCAATGGAAAATTACTTCAATGAACCAAAAGTTTTGGTATATTGCATGTAACAATTGTAAGAAAACGTCAAGTGCAGACTTGGGACAAATTCATAAGTGTCGTTTCTGCAAATTTGAACATGCAAAAGCAATACCAAGGTAACATGTACTCTAAACCTATATTTAACTATTTATTAAAAATAACACTTCATTTAACAAAACTTACTATGTAATTTAATTAACTTCTCCATATAGGGTAACTGCTTTCGTACATATTGAAGACAACTCTGGAGGCTTGGATGCAACCATAATAGGAGAAACCGTAGAAACTTTATTGGAAGCAAATGCCGTCCAAATTATGAACCATTTTGAAAAGGTTAACTCCAAATACTACTAAATTTTTAATAATTATTTGCATTTACTTGATCATATTAAATGAGTATAATTTTAATATTTCAGGACGTTGATACACAACTAAAAGATCTCATAAGAACTAACAGCGAGGAAGAACAACTTTTTTACCTAAAAGTAACACCAAAAAGCCAAAATCCACCTGAATACCGATATGAAATTATCTTCATATTCAACTCTTC